ACACAGAATGAGGACCCTGGAAATCCCCTGTCTGACTTCCTGGCCCCCACACCACCCTGTTATAGCTGCTGGATTCCTTAGGCTAGGAAATCCCCTAAGCTTGGTGCTAGGCAAGAGACAGTTTTCTGTGGAATTGTGAAATTCCAAACAGCAGCCTCAAGGGTTAGACAAAGGACACCAGATTCCAATTGAGGAATGGCTGGAGTTGAAATGGCATTCACAAAGACAAGCAGACAGTTTTTAAGAAATTAGGTGTCCCACAGGCTCTGCCACAACGGCTATACTGAACATCACAAGTGTGCCATGTTTTCGTGCCCCTGGTTAGTATACGTGCAGTTCCCTCAGTGTAGAAACCTTCTTCTTGTCCTCTCCCCCATGTGTTTCTGGAAGTTCCTACTTATCCTTTAACATCAACTCAGAAGTCCTCTCTGCAAGGAGTTTCCTGGTCTTTCCTGTTTACAAAATTAACTGGTACTAGGATGCCATTACCAGAGGATGTACCCTGGCTGCCGATCGTATCACAACAAAAGGGAGGTCATCACTGGTTTGCAGGTCTGCCTCACCCTCCCAACAGCATTCCTTGAGAGCAGTGGCTATTTTAATCATCTTTGTATCTCTGGAACCAGCAGGGACTCAAATGTCAGTTGAATAAACAAATGTCGGCTAACAGACAAAAATAACATCCTTGTAAATGCATGATTCACCTTTCTATCCCCTAAATGGTGCATTTTCAGAACCCTTAGGTAACCAGCTGCTTTGGGACAGGTTTTTCTTGAAGTTTAAATAGCTGAGTTTAATACCATTACTTATATTCATGACTAACTAAGAAATATGATAGAAAGAAGGAAGAGTTATATAATATCAAAAGATGAACGGCTATGAAAAAGGCCAATAGGAAGTGTAATTTACCAGCTAACATATATTATTTCTACACTACCCTTTCCTGATCGCTCCTCAACACACACATACACAGATGCACAAAGCAAGTTAGTAGCAAGTCACTTTGGGAAATTTAATCACAACCCATCAACACAAGAGCCCATAACCATAGTAAAAACACCAGAGTAATTACATTATTAGAGTTGCCAATCGCTGGTTAAGATCTCAAGGTCAGGTTTCTAGATACATCTTGCTGCATCTGTGCAGCTGGCAGGTCCCAGAGGGTATAAAAACGAAGACTGGGGCCCACTTCTCAAAAGAGGCTGTTCCTGCAATGCCATAAAGGCTGTGGTGACTGAACTGTGCAAGAAGAGCAAGAACAGTCTGCATGTAGTCTCTTCAGGCCCAGTTCCTGACTCTACGGATCTGAGAGAAGTTTCTGGTCAACTTCTGGGTTCCAGAAACAAGGCTAGAGTTGCATAACACCACAAAGTGCCTAGCTTCACTCCTTAGAGGGAAAGGAAATGCTCATGATACTGCCCCCTCCTGAGACTGACTGGGAAAGGGGTACAAGGGTAATTTCTGGGACGACAGAAATGTTCTACATCTTGAAATGTGGGTTAACTGTGTGTATGCATTTGTCAAAACTTAAAGAACTGTTCTCTTTAGATTCACGCATTTCACTGTATGTGACTTTTACCTAGAAAACAAAGAACCGTGCACAAATATCAAACTCTAATTACTACCTTTACCTTCTGTAGTAGTACGAGCTAGTGATACAGAAACTGCTAGACTTGAGCAAGTGAGCGTATATACCCAGGAAAATGGGAGCCAGGCTTCTCAGTGTTGGAGAAGGTAGTTACAAATATAGGAAGGCAGAAATTAACATTACCAAAAGGGATAAAATATATCATATGTTTCCTGACATGAGAATACATCATCGCTTCTTTGGTATTCCTGCCAAAAATTCACAACCTGACTCTAATCATAAGGAAACATTAGACAAATCCAAATTGAGAGAAATTCTACAAAATATCTGGCAAAATATCAAAATGTTGAGGTTAGGAAAGACAAAGAAAGGCTAAGGAACTTTTCCAGATTGAGGAAAGCCAAAGAGATATGACAACTAAACACATGCTCGATCCTGAACTGGATCCTGAGCTGGAAGAAATAAAACGATAAAGAAATTACTGGTACAAACAACAACATTTGAAATATAGACTGTGGATTAGATAATAGCATTGTGCAAACATTAGATGGCCTGAGCTGGTGTGTTCTGTTTTGGGTAAGAGAAGATCCTTCTTCTTAAGAACATACATTGAAGCATTTAGCTATAAAGGACCACAATGTCTCCAGCTTACTCTGGAAGTTTCAAGACAAAGGGGGTGGGGAGAAGCCGGGAGGCGGGAGGGGAGTACGCGCGCACACACAAATGGGGCAACATGTAAACAACTGGTGAATCTGGGTAAAGGATGTGCATGAATGACTTCCTTGTACTGGTCTTGTGACTTTAAGTTTAAAATTATATCAGAATAGAAAGTTACCAAAAAAATACCTTAACTTCCCCCTAAACATTTAGGTGAAAGGCTAATAATAACAAACTAATTCAATGTATTTTGAGAAAGTCTTTCAAGAATATTGGTTTCAGAAGTGTACTTCTCCCTCTCATTGCAACTCCATGAAACTCTAGTTGGCTCTAAATTCACTTTTAGAACTAAAAACAACTCATAGTTTTGTGAAATAAGGTTTTTTTTTGAAATTCCAGTGCCAGACACTATCACTTTACAAAGTCTTGAAAGGCAATAAACAGAAAGTGGAATGAAAGTGTCTCCTCACCACCCTCCTCTCTCCAGATTCTTCGGTGCTTTTGTAAGGTGGAACAATTCAGCTTGCTATATGCCAAACTACAATCAAATGGGGGCAAGAAACAATTTGTGTGTGGCTAAGAAACTGCCTTCCTCTCCACCTCAGGCCTTACAAAAGGTCTATACTTTGTTATATGCATATATGAATAACGCAGTGAACAAGAGGACTATCACTCAGCAAAGCTTCTTCACCTTCCCAGTCTTTCCGTCTGCATTTGTGGTTAAATCAAGACACAAGTATGGCGTTAGTCCTGGGGGGTAAAAGCAAAAATACTGAAAACTACCAAAGGAAAAAATTATTTCATGGATGTCAAAGGAGAATGTCTGAAAAAGTCATTTTTAGCCCTGAAGAATCTTTTTGAAACAGTAACAACCATGATATGACTCAGTATAAAAAACATTATGCTAAGTATACATTAAGAAAAATTCACATGTACAGAGATGAACTGTAATTGGATTTGTCATTTCAAAGTATTAATGTTGGGTTTGCAGATAATAGAGAATGACGTTCTCCTAAGTGAACAAAAAAGTTAGCCAAGTAAGTAAATGCTGTGTTTCTACTGTCAGGAAATACGTGCACCAATGAAGCAACCTTTTCAGCACAAAAGAAATTTAATACCCAGACCACATGAAAAGTGATCGCTATGGGAATAACACAGCTGTTAAAATCCAAGTCCGTTTGTATTAAATCGTCCAGCATGTTTATGTAAAGCAGGGCTCTCAATATGACCACCAACAGGAAATAATTCTACTAACAAAAAAAGTGATACTTACATTTAATTTAATGCTCAGCAAAATAAGTGTGAAAGAAAAATGCAAACCTATTCTTTTTCAAAGAACACAGGGACCTCAGTTACCTGGCATAATTGTGATTCTTTTGTAAACAGTATCTCAAAGGCTAATTTAATTAGAAATAGAACAAGAATGAGCATTTGCATTTCACTCTGAGAACCCAATTATCTTTATTTCATTGGCTAGCCAGATGCACATAAAGCCACAGGAAAACTTCTGGCACCTGTGCCAAATGATTTCAGTATGAAAATTAATACCGCCAAGTTATTGTGAGGCTGATTAGCTCAGCCATTCTAAAAATGAAAAAGTGTGCCACTAAAGAGCATACAAGTTATCTTAAAGAAACTACAAAGAGAATGAGCTCCTGGGTGACTATGACATTACCATTTGATAAGCTTTAAATCACAATACAGACATTTCGGATGCTAATGATAAAACAGGAGTGTAGTTTACTGCTGAAGAAAAAAAATTACTCAGAACTTCTGAGCACCTAAAATTAACCAAGTTTATCAACATTATTTGTTAAGTCTTAGTTAATGTTTTAGAGAAACTAGTCAAAATTGTCCTTCTCAATATGGCCCAACTACAGTTTTCAAAGAAAGCTTGTCAACTCAGAGTGGAAATAATTTCCCTAGAATTCAATCCTTCCACATTGCCAGATGTAGGCTACACAGCAAAGAAGTCCCAAATTATAACTGAGAGGCCAGAGTTTAGGATTATTGACCCCAACACTATTTTGCGTAACACCTGAACATGAAACCTTATCAAGAATCATGAGTTTTAAAAGCCCAGGTTAATTCACTGGATGTTAAGAAGGTTTAAAGAAGCATCCAAAAGGAAATTCACTATAGTACACAGTATACATGTAAAAATAACTCAGACAATCTCAAAGACTATTAAAAAATGAGAAGCCATCACTGTAGTTTTGAGATACATGAGCCGTTTTCTATTACAATTGGAGACATACCAGCTCTATTTTTAGAATCTCTGGAAAGATCAAAGCTGAAGGGGCCTTTTTATTGGCTCCCCATACATGTGCCTGATCTGTTTACTTTCTTTGTTATTATGTAGATCTCCGAAAGACACACCACCAGGACTGCAGGCTATCCCCCATCCTCTGAGTAACACTTACAAGTTGCTGTATGATGGTCCATGTGAGGGAGGAACCCTCTGAGGAGAAACAAAGACTAGGAACATTCAAGTCAAAATCACCACGATCCAGGAATTGATACAGAACCATAATAACTGATTCAGTCTCTCTCTACACATTGTAAATCAAACTTTCTCATTCTCTGTGAGAATAAATATAGATAAATGGTAACAAAAAAAATCCTTTCTGGTTTTTTAAACACCCGTCTCCCTACAACCCCCCAAAATAGTCCTCAGTTGGTTTCAGTGCCTCTGGCTGGTAAAGCTGACAGGCCCATTGTTAAAAACAAGTCCCTCAAATGCAGAATGACTTACTTTGGAAGAACAAGCTGTACATTTGTCAAATGCCAGACTGACAGGAAGGACGTTATCAAACCGTGACAGAAATCCCCGGATCTAAAAACAAAGAAAACAAAACAAAAAAATTCACATCAAGCCCAGAATGACCACACCTGTAAAAGATCTGTGCAGATTGACAAGAAGTGGGAAATTAATATGGTGTACTTAACAGAGATGACTAGCAAAAATGAAATGCAATGTGGGTATTTTCCTTTATACTAGAATCAGCTTGAGGAAAAACTATAGCAGGCCCTTTATTTCATTAGGAACCACAGCCTACAAAGCCTTTCACATATTTGAGACCTAAAACAGACTGGCTCCAAAAATATGAAAAGAAGGCTGTCAAATCTAAAGCATCATTTTAATTAATGTCTTCTAGTATGTCAACTAGTTAATTATGACTCAACTCTCATACATACGTTAGAGTGAATGTGGGATATTTTCACTTATAGGATATGATATTGGGTGGGATCTCACAAAGGAAGGCCTGGGGACAACAGAAGGCAGAAATGATCCTAAATATATATTTGCAGTTATTTGCTTGATTGGAACAAATAGGGATAAAGTGCAAAACATCACCAAATTTATGGGGAAACAGCACCACCTTGAGTGTAAACTTCTGGACTGCAAGTGATTTCTACTTAAGAGTGTATCAGCTGTAACCAAGCTTCACGAACTATAATTTGAGTAATTCATTCAGAATATTATATCTCTAGAACTATACTCTTGCCAAGTGGGGAGTTTTAAACGGTTATATATGCACCATTAACATACTGTTACTAACAATATGAATGGTAAACTGAAGTCTCCACAGGACTCAACATTTATAATAAGCCAGACAACATATATCTTTTCATGAGTGAATTTATTTAACCCTCCCAACTACTCCCATTTCTTGTTGATGAAACACAAGCTCAGAAGGCGAAGCAACTTGGCTCAGGAAAACAAAGTGACAGAGCCAAGATTTGAAAGCAGACCTCCTGACTCCAAACCTGGTCCTGGCCTGCCGGCCTCCCTCCCTTTCTCTCAGGATATCACAGCATTTGTCTTTGATATGAGGTCTCAACACAGATTTAACAGTCTCACTTGAATAGGGCAAAGGAACCAACCTACACATTCTTGTTGTCTTGAGCACCCTACCAACATCCCCCAAAATAAAAACCAACAAAACCTGACAACCTGTTCAAGGAAACAAGCTTCCTTCTGAGCTGGGAGAACTCCATCTTTATGCCCACACTGCAACTAACAGTCTAACTGCATGAACACACTGGAAAATCTCACCTTGACAGAAATGCCTATAGCAATAATTTAAATGGCTTGTCCATGTAATCCAAGATCAAAGGAGTGTTTGATAGAAATGATGAATTAGGTAGTTGGGATAAATTCGATGGCCTCTTTGTGAACCTCCAAAAATGTGACAATCTTTCAGTTCCCCTTCTCAGGAATGTGGTAACATTTCATAACACAGTAGTTGAGGCACAATTAGAGTAGTAAGTATGCTATTCAGGACACCAAGAGGGGATAAACTTCCAGAAAAGACTTTAATGGCAATTCACAAAAAAAATGGGAATGTTGAAAACCTCACAAAAGCTAAAAGTTACAGGCTTGAAAGAATTCTCATAATGGGCCTCCTCATACCTCAATTACTTTTATATTAAATTTACTTAGAAAGCATGCTATCATATTTAGCCTATTTCCTGTTAAAATGTTCATTGATACAATCTATAGGTTAATGTCTCCATAAATCCTTCATCTTTTCTCTCATATAGCTAATACCAAGCTTTCTTTATGTGATGCAAGGAAACATTGGTTATTTATCTGTGCTGAACTGCCTCATGATTGGAGGTGGGGAGGTAAAGCTGAAAACAAGGGAGACAGAGACCCCCAGTTAGGAGAGGAAAGGAAGAGAGAAAGAGGAGAGGAAGGAAGGAAGGAAAAAAAATAGAAACAAAAAACACAGGTGGTGAGCAACAGAAGAGAAGGGAGCTGAAGTGAATGAATTGGCCAAACGGGGCCCAGACACTATTGTTTAGCGCCTCCACACAGCTCTTTACTAGGAAATTGTGATTCATTTTCCCAGGAAATAAAGTAGAACAACATGTGTGTGTGAAGCCTTTCAAATTTAGCAAGTTGGTATCGGAAGGCCTTGAATGCAACTGAAGTGATTCCAGTTTTAGATGAAAGAGAAAATCCTTCTCAAACTGATTGCAAGAGACTCCTAATGGGTACCACCATAGGTGAGGCTCTCTCCTTCCATTTAATGTGACATTCTGCTGTTGATTAATTTTTCTTCTACACAGCTCAGAGGCGTGTTACTTTTTCTTAACTTCCTAGAGCTGACCTAATACAGTGGAGAATCTGGCACTCAAAGTTCCCCCTAATCTGGGCCCACCCTGCCTTTCTAATTAGTCTTGACTGAATCTTTTCACAGGCTCCATACAACTAATAGGGTGAACTGCACTTCCATTCCAAACACATGCCCACCTGTCTCAAGCTGAAATCACGTGATTCAGAGCTCTTCCTTGTGGAAACAGCTGTATATCCAAATCTTCACCTTCTTTAAAGGCCACTTAGCTCAAACACTCCTCTTCCATAAATCTTCGATCTGCCTACCACCCAACTTATAGGTAAAGTGTCCATTATCTGAAAGTCTCCTCTGGTATTTATCACCAAACTCTTTGTATAATAGTTATTTTGAAAAAAATAAAAGTGCCCATCAATACATGAATGGATAAAGATGTGGTGTATATACATACACACACACACACACACACACAATGGAGTATTAGTCACAAAAAAAATGAAATCTTGCCATTTGCAGCAACACAGATGGGCCTAGACAGTAATATGCTAAGTGAAATAAGTCAGACAAAGACAGATGCCATATGATTTCACTCATATGTGGAATCTAAAAAACAAATGAACAAACAAATCAAAACAGTAACAGACTCAAGCTTCCGGAAACTGTTGGTTACTAGAGAGGTGGGGCTCAGGGGTGGGTGAAATAGGTGAAGGGGATTAAGAGACAAATTTCCAGTTATAAAATAAGTCATGGGGATGTAATGTACAACATAGGGAATTTAGTCAACAATATTATAATTTTTTATGGTGACAGATGATAACTAGATTTATGCAGATCAATTTGTAATGTATAAAAATATCAAATCACTATGATGTACACCTGAAAGTAACAGATTATGTCAATTATACTTCAAATTTTTTTAAATGTGAAAAAAACTACAGGTTTATTGAGATACAATTCATGTGCCATAAAATTCATCTTTTTGAAGTATATAATTCGGAGGCTTTTAGTATATTCATGGAATTGTATAACCATGACCAGTATCTAATTGCAGAATATTTTCATCACCCCAAAAAGAAACCCAGAACCTGTAAGCAACAGTCCCCATTCTCTACTTTCCCCAGATCCTGGCAACCACTAATCTACTTTCTATTTCTGGCTTCCATATTTTGCTTATTTCCTATAAATGGAATCACACAAGACTGGCTTCTTTCACTTGGTGTAATGTTTTTTTTTTTCTTTTTTTTTGAGAGGGCATTTCTCCTATTTATTGATCAAATGGTTGTTAACAACAATAAAATTCTGTATAGGGGACTCAATGCACAATCATTAATCAACCCCAAGCCTAATTCTCAACAGTCTCCAATCTTCTGAAGCATAATGAACAAGTTCTTACATGGTGAACAAGTTGTTACATAGTGAATAAGTTCTTACATGGTGAACAGTGGAGGGGCAGTCATATCACAGAAACTTTCGGTTTTGATCACACATCATGAACTATAAACAATCAAGTCAGATATGATTATTCATTTGATTTTTATACTTGACTTATATGTGGATCCCACATTTCTCCCTTATTTTTTTTTTAAATAAAATGCTGAAGTGGTAGGTAGAT